GTCGCTGGCGTGCCGGGAGGAGCCAGCGTGGCGATCGTAGTCCCTGTGGTGCCGGTGCTCACGGTGTTGGGGGTAGTCGTCGTGCTGCCACGGGTCTTCATCGGGGGGCTCGTCATAATCGTGGTAGGTGTGCTTAACTGGGGGTCTCTTCTGTGAGGAAGAGTGGCCACCGTAGTGCCTGACCCTCTCTGCCCGCGCCTCCCTGGGCTTATCAAACCAGTCTGTTTCCTCCTGACCCAAATGATAGGCTTCGGAAACCAAAAACAAACCACAGTCAATCTCTCGCGCGAGGCTGCGCGGGCGGAAGCCATGCAATGAAGTGGGAGGGACAAGCAGCGGGCACGCGCGCGGGGGACAGCACGTGCCGGTGGGGACGGGACGCGGCGCAGCAGGGCACCGTGCAGGACCGGCTAACACCGAACACCCAGGGCAGGGGGAGGAAGGCACGTGTCAAGCAAACTGAGGCGGTGAGAGTGTCTCTGCGTACGAGCGGACGGGCATGCCCCGGGGAAGTGCCATGCTCTGGGGTGGTCACCACGGGGAGCTGTTACCTTCGCTGTCTGAGACAACGCAATGGGCATCATCCATGCCGTAGCCCTCCTCGTGCTTGTACGAGTGACTCCTTGGCACGTCTTTGATGTGCTTTTGCACATCAGGCAACGAGTGGCTGGAGCAGAACTGGGAGCAGGGGTCCCCTGCTGACTGGGGGCCCGGCCCTCCTGCAGTGCGTGACCCCCCCATTGACCTCCCCATGGGGCTGACAGGGCTCTCCTCTTCTGAGTGCTGCGAGCGCATGGGCGCCCGCCCACGGCTCTGGCTCATGCTGAGGGATGAGGGCTTGGAGCTGACTTTCTGGGAGCGCTCCATGCTCTCCCGCTCATAGGACTTGCTCCGGCCGCCCATCTCTCGGCTGGAGGACTTTTCCACCCCATAGCCAGAGGAGCGAGTTCTGCTACTGGAAGAGTAGACCCGCTCCTCCTCATCCACCAGATCCCGGCTGGAGACACCGTAGTACTTTTGCTGCTCATAGACGTTCTTCTTCAGGCCGTAGGTGATCTCATCCTGCAGCTTCTTGGCCCTGGAGGCCACATTGCTGCTGCCAATTGAGGTGGTTGTTGAGTAGGAGGCCAGGTCTGACTCTACATCTTTGGCTTCTTCAATGGGGGAGAACTTGGAGATCTTCTGCTCCATGCCCTGCTTCCTGTGCTTGCTGCGCTTGGAGGAGATGACAGCAGGTGCCAGGTTCTTGGATGAATGCTTCGGTAGTGGTGTGCCAGAGCTGTGCTTGTCCATCCGTGAGGAGTGCCGGTACTCACTGTCCCCATAGTAGTAGCTCGAACTGGTGGAGCTCCCTGACACCCTGCCATTGCTTTCTGTGCCTCGGTAGTAGCTGTTCTTCCCACGATGGTCGGGGCCATGGTGATCATACATGTCCTCCTCAGACTCCTCCTCAGCTTTGGTGTAGCAGCAGGGACGGCTGGAGCCCTCGGTGTCCCCTAGATCACTCTTCTCCCTGCTGTGGCGGCTATCGGCGCTCGTGCCCACGGGCTCTGCTTTCTGCCCGTCCACTGCCGGACTCTCCTTGGTGAGCTCGCTGATGTCCTCGATCATCACATAGTTACGGGGGATGTTCTGCTCCAGATTGGTGTAGAGGGACTCGGAAGAGTAGCTGGCTGAGGGGCCTGGTGCCGTGCTGGTTCTCTCAGCCGGCCGGCTCTCAGGTGCCTTGTACTGCTCATAGCCACTGCTCGCCGGTGCACTGCTGAAGGTGACATCAGGCACGGCCGAGGAGCTGGTGGCCGCACCGATGACCTCATAGTTGGTGGGGATCTTCTGTTCTAGGTCAGCCAGGGAAGTCTGCCGCGGCTTCTGGTGCCCGCCAGCTATGTCTGCCGGGCTC